TGTCCTCTTGGGACCATTTTTCACCAAGAGGCAATATGTGGTTCTTGAGAAATTTGGAACAAGTGAACCCAAGTAAATACTATAGTAGGTAAATCCAGGGAGTCACATTTTGAATACTTTGCGAATTGACAAAGCCTCAGGCTGTGATAGAAATTTTGAAGCAATTCTGTTTTTTTCTGTATTTCAAGGGAAGCAAGCCAGAGTGCTAAGGGTCTCAGATGCGTAGTCTGCTAGCCTGGCCAGGAGGGACCATTCTCATGTCTGGTTGTTTGTTTCTTCCATTCTAGCTCAGCAACACTTCCCTCCATGATGAAGTGCATTGAAGAAAACAATGGCGTAGACAAGAGGATCAGCAGGTTCATTCTCCCCATCGGGGCCACAGTGAACATGGACGGAGCTGCCATCTTCCAGTGTGTGGCTGCGGTGTTCATTGCCCAGCTCAACAACGTAGAGCTGAATGCAGGGCAGATCTTCACAATTCTGTAAGCTCATTATTCTTTCTTTCAGTTTTGGGCCTGCCTCAAAACTTGAGGTTTTTCTGGGCCGAACCCATGGCTCACTCGGGAGAGTGTGGCACTGGGAGCGCAGCAGTGCTGGGAGCGCCGAGGCCACAGGTTCAGATCCCATACGAGGATGGCCAGTGCACTCACTGGCTGAGCGCAGTGCAGGCGACACCAAACCAAGGGTTACGATCCCCTTACCAGTCACAAACAAAACAACAACAAAAAAAGAGGTTTTCTTGTGCCTGGCTGAGCGCAGTGCAGGCGACACCAAACCAAGGGTTACGATCCCCTTACCAGTCACAAAAAAAAAAAAAACAAAAAAACGAGGTTTTCTTGTGACAACAAAAAAAGAGGTTTTCTTGTGCTTTCCTTTGAAAAACCAAACTCGCCACAACTCGGTACCTCATTTGTAATGTGAGGACAGTGTGAGTTCATCTCTTGAAGGGAGCGGATCATCTCTCAGGGGCTCAGCCAGCAGACCCGTGGTGGTTTCCAAGCCATGGCCACCATGTTCTGCATTCTCTGTGCCCACTCATGCACTGTGTTAACAGCGACCCTGCTTTGCTGTCCCCTAGAGTGACCGCCACCGCGTCCAGTGTTGGAGCAGCAGGTGTGCCAGCTGGAGGGGTCCTTACCATTGCCATTATCCTGGAGGCCATTGGGCTTCCCACTCATGACCTCTCTCTGATCCTGGCTGTGGACTGGATTGTGTAAGTAGCAAGTCCTGAGCACACCAAAAAGAAAGTCTGTATAGAGTTCCCTAGGAACTTGGCATTCCACTAAGCCTGGGCATATAAAGCAACTTAAAACACACTCCCTGCCTTGTGAAGGAGCCCACACTTGAGCTGGCAAGGCAAGGTTGAGAGCTAGAAAACATTAAATGTCATGAGAGACAAATCCCCATGAATGACCATGAAATGTCATTACTGAGAACGTGCTTATAGCATCCAGTAAAGTGGGGGTATAAGGCTGAGGCCTTCAGTGTAGGTCTAGGGGGCACAAGGGTCTGTGGAGATTGCTGGCTGCATAGGAGTACTAAGCCACTGTAGTGGTGATCCTTTGAGAATGATTGTCCTTCACCTGGAAATGTCCAAGGAGTGATTTCTGCGAGGGGAGAGAAGCTGACCCCTGCAACCCCGAGTGGCGTGGGCTGGGAGTCAGGGAGAAGGAGGTAGGGAAGGAGATTGATGCAGGATGTCATGTGCAGGCTCCTATAAAAACACAAGGCAGTTCCCAGGTGTTGATTCCTTGAGTCTCTCGATACAGCTTTTGCAGGTTTTATAGGGAGGGTTAGCTGAGGTACTGATGCTGAGACAACAGAGCATGAGGATGAGTCAGCCTGGAGCCCAGGTGCCTCGATTCAAAGCCCGGTTTCACTAAGTAGCTGAGGAATGTAGACTGCTCTGTGCTTCAGTCTGCTCATCAATAAAATGGGAATCATAATAGAAGCTACACCAGAACTGAGGTGAAGATTAAACGAGTTAGCACATGCACAGCACACAGAATACCAGGTGCATGGGAAAGCATTCAATAAATGTTAGCAGGGGTTGGTCGGTTAGCTCACTTGGTGAGAGCACAGTGTTATAAAACTAAGGTAAAGCATTCAGATCCCCATACTGGCCAGCCGCCAAAAAAAATGTTAGCAAAGAAAGACATCCTGGCCAGGTCAGTCAGAGCCAGGCATGAGAGAGCCTGAACACAGTGCCTGGCACTGGGCAAGGCGGAAATGTGCAGACACCTCATCGAAGGAACTCGGTTCCTGGGCTGGCAAGTCGGACAGGACCACAGCAGTGTTGGGACCAGTGTCCTTCCTCACCCAGCTGCCTCCTGGGCATGGAGAAGGGGCATCTAAGAGGTACTCAGCCAGGAATGGGGGAAGAGGGCCCCAAGCTGGCAGCCAGTAGAGACTCGAAGTCACACAGGCTCTTCAGCCACCCCAGAGTCTCTGCTGCTACAGCCAGACTGCCCTCCTCAAGGCTTCAGCTGTCCAGTGCCCTCAGGCAAGATCACATTTCCCCCCCTGTCTTCAATATGGGCACAATACTTCCTCTGAGCTCTAGGGATAGGGGAGTAATATTGGGCTAATCTATGGCAAGGCAAGTAAGCTTCTGGAAAGGACAGTGCTGTTTTTCTGTGAGATGGTATTTGCCACCAGCCATGGAATGCACATGAAGATTAATATCCAGTAGTGAAGCAGTGCTGAGATGAGAAAAAGAAGGGAAACTCCCACAGTGGAATGCTGAATGGAAGAAAAGCTAGATACAGACCGTACCTACGCTAGTATCCCAATTACGTGTAACTGTTAGATGCTGGAGTCTATTACATATAAAATACATGCGTAGAAAGATGGCTGGAAAGAAATTGATCAAAATGTTCTAGGGACTAAAAGCTAGATACAGACCGTACCTACGCTAGTATCCCAATTACGTGTAACTGTTAGATGCTGGCGTCTATTACATATAAACTACATGCGTAGAAAGATGGCTGGAAAGAAATTGATCAAAATGTTCTAGGGACTCGCTCAGAGTTGTGGAATATGGGTGGGGGACTTCCTTGCTTCTTTATACTTCTCTTTTTTCCAAGTTTTCTACAATGAGTGTCTGTTACTTTTATAAGAATAAAAAATGTTCCAAGAAAACCAAGTTAGAGTAAGGTAGGCTTATGCACTAGCAGCGTGCACTCTAGGAAACAGCAGGGCCCCACCTGGTCCCAACTTGTCTGTGGCCATGCAGCCCCCTCCCCTGCAGCTCCGCAGTGCTGGATGTAATGCCTGCCTTTCCTGTCCCCTCCAGGGACCGCACCACCACTGTGGTGAACGTGGAAGGGGATGCCCTGGGTGCAGGGATTCTCTACCACCTGAATCAGAAGGCGATGAAGAAAGGCGAGCAGGAACTGAGCGAGGTGAAAGTGGAAGCCATCCCCAACTGCAAGTCCGAGGAGGAGACATCACCTCTGGTGACGCATCAGAACCCCACTGGCCCCGTAGCCAGTGCCCCAGAACTGGAATCCAAGGAGTCAGTCCTGTGATGGGGCTGGGCCTGCCAGCGGTGGCGCCCCACCCTGTCAGCCCAGCTGTGGACACGGGGCATTGCCTTGGACTTTTAGCCTCCCGAGCAATGCTTTGGCCCAATCGCTGGTTTGAGGATTACCTTTCAGCTCAGGCATTGGGCTCCCCAGCAGGAATTGGTTACCAAGGACCAGGACACTCTGACATTTGGCTTAATCCCTGTCCAGGTGTGACTCCACATGCACCAGGGCTCTGTTTGGGACCCCCTCGAGCTGCCAGGCTTGGGGAGATGATGGCCTTACAGGGGCCTGTGGTTAAAGCTTGGAAAAGTGCAGGTGTATTCTTCATTGTCCCCCAGTCCACTCTGCATTGCGTGCTTTCTGGGCCAACCAAGGGGGGTTGCCATCATCTGTTGCATTGCCTCGTAAGTCATTGTAATTGGACAAATTGCCATATTCTTAGCGGTGGCTGGAATTTGCTGAGGTGAACTCAGTTTTTGCTACAACTAGGTGTGGGTGGCTTCTGATTTACTGGTTGCAGGGTGACTGGAGGCGCTGCACAGTGTCAAGTTTAAAATGCTCCAGCTGGGTGCGAGCATTGCTTGGGTCTCCGGTCATCAAGTAAAGAATTTAAGTTCTGAGATCAAAGAAAGGAAAGGGAGTGCAACCTGTAGAGGGTGACGGGGGGAGTCCCCTAATCAGGACAGGATAGCTCTAGTGTGGGCACACACACAATTGTTGCCTCCTTGGCAACAGGCCTCCTTCTCTTGGGAGGTGCGATGTCATCACATTCAGGATCTCTGCTGGTTTATCAATCTATTATTTTAATTTAACTAGATCCTCCCTAAAGTATTGCACTGCAGCAAAAACAAAACAATAAACCCTCCCATCTGCCACCACAAAAATAAACCCATGTACTAAGTACGGTGACCCTGTTCCCAGGTTCCCAGGTTCCTGGCTTTGGCTGATTTCGGTGGACATGGGTTTCTTTCCTTCCAGTACATCAGTGTTTAAAATTGTCAGTGAAATGGTCCATGTTCCTCCAGTTACCTACAGACCCAGTTTTAAGCTAGGTGAGGGAGCTTTATAGAGAAGTTGGTGTACTGCCAGTGAGAGGGAGGACCTAAGAGTCTACTGTTTTTCAGTGGCTGTTGGTGTGTATCCATCGTGTGACCTGCAGCAAGTCCTGGGACCTTGCTTTACCCCATTTGTAAAATGGGGCTAACATCTCCTCCCTCTTACCTACCTCAGAGGGCGTTGGGGAGGCAAGACGTGTCCATCTGTGAAAACAACCATTTTGCTTCATGGCTGTCAACTGCTAACACCATGCTCTTCTTATCTTTTACCTAAGTGACAGCTTCTCCTTGGAGACCGCCTTCTTCTGGTGAAGACAGCTTTTTGAGCAAGACTTTGTTCTCCATGTGCATGAGAACTCTCATGATGCTGCTGTTCTCTCTGTAGTTATTTGACAGCATCAAAGGCAGCCTCTTCCTGGTGTCCTTCAAGTTTTAATGAGTTAGCTACCCCATCTTCTACCACATTTCTGGGTACCTGACTTCACTGTGACTCCCACACCTAGGCACTGTTTCTGCCACCCCACAACAAGCCATCAAAGCCCCCAAATGTTCAGCCTTGTTTATCCCCTTGTTTTCCCTGTTGCTGTGTGTCACTGGGGCCCTACAGACAGGGCACACACCTTTACTGTGTGAACCATTGCCGGGAGAATGGGTGGATGGGACAAAGACAATTAAATACCCACCTCCCATTTTAAAATTGGGGCATGTGCCCAAGTGAAAGTGGTGGGGAAGAACCCTGGTGCACAGAGCTGACCCGGCCAGAAGGAAGACTCAGCTCTCTTGAAGTCTGCAAAGCCCCTCTAGTCTCCTGTGAAGCCAGGAGTGACCAGGAAGTGAGCAGAGAGCAGTGGCTGGAAACTTACCTCTGGCTAGAGCTTGTTGCTAATACCCTTCTGTTTTTAAAGGGGAAACAATCACATTGTTTGATTCCAAACTGCAGAGGATTATTCACTATTTTTTAGGCTTCAGTAAATCTTTTTTCTTCTTCCATGTACATATGTGCGAATATATATACACACTCATATGAGGGGTCTTCAAAAAGTTCATGAAAAGACTTGTATTATCTCAATTCTATTTTGTCATGAACTTTTTGAAGTATGTGTGTATATATACATACGTGGGGGTGTGTGTGTGTGTGTGTGTTTGCATAGAGGTGAAGTAAACAAGTTGTATGTCTTTAGCATCCTGGATATATATACACACTCATATGAGGGGTCTTCAAAAAGTTCATGAAAAGACTTGTATTATCTCTTAATTCTATTTTGTCATGAACTTTTTGAAGTATGTGTGTATATATACATACATGGGTGTGTGTGTGTGTGTTTGCATAGAGGTGAAGTAAACAAGTTGTATGTCTTTAGCATCCTGATTTTCCCATTTCTAAGGATGAATTTCACCAAGTGTGGAAATTAGAGCTGGACAATAAGGCCCATTGGCTGAACATCCTCTGTCCTGCATCTGGGCCTGCAGTAAGAAGGTGCTTCCCTGTGACCTTCAAATGACCCTTCCCCTTCGAGGTGACAAGAGGAGGAAGAAGGCGCCGTGTCTCTCCCTGGTTTTCAGTCCACAAGAGGAGCTGGTAGACAAGGGACAACCTGACTGGGGACAATTTCATTTATTGTCTGGAAATGTCTCTCCCGCTATTCTTTTTCTAACATGTTCTAAATACTGTTCAAATACTATTCATCTCTGTTTTGTATGTGTGACACTTGCCTTAAAACGTAGCACAGTCCTCAAAAAATGAATACAGTATTCCTACTGGGCTCTGCATGTTCCTGTGTCTTTCTGGTGTTTTGAAGTGACACTTACTGATGGAGCTATGGCTCTTCTAGGGGGTGGCCTGTGGGTGACTGATGGACTTTTTTTCTTGCTCCTTTCAACCAGCATGAGCCCCTGAGGCAGGGTGGGCACACTCGGGTGGGCAAAGCTGCTGGGGGGCTGATGTCTTTGGTCCTCCTGAGGCTCCAGCTTGTGCCTGGTGAGCATCACACTGCTGATGGGCTCCCAGTCAACACCAGCAAGGCTCTTGCAAAGAGTGTGCAGTTCTGCCACATACCTCTGTAAAGTTAAGTCTTGTCAAAACAACTAGGTTGACAGGCCCTAACTGAGCATCTACTATAAGCCAAGCAGGAAAAAGGAAGAATGCTCTAGGACACAGACTTACTGGGAACGTCCTTCAAAGAGGGCAACTGCCTCTACCGTTGTCTCCACCACCCCAGCCCATTCTTTTATATAATCTTATTTTTCAATGACACACATTCCGGCACAATTAGGGAATCTAGAAGCCTCTTATAATAGGATTAGCCTGCAAGTTCACACTGGAAGCCTTGGTTTCCAGACTCAGGGGCCTCTGAAGAAACAGATCTCTGTTCTGACCTGGACATTGCCAGCTTTTCATATAATACAGGAACTGGTTTTATTACTTACTTATTTATTTATTTACAGATCTCTGTTCTGACCTGGACATTGCCAGCTTTTCATATAATACAGGAACTGGTTTTATTATTTATTTATTTATTTATTTATTTTTAAAGAAAATGAAATTTTATTAATATTATTTTTTACATTCTAGGATGTTGTTGCGGAGCTGTTAGGAGGGAGGGGAAGAGGAGAAAGGGGAAGGAAATGGGATGGAAGAAGGAGAGAGGAGGAGGGGTGGGATTGAGGCCTGTGGCACCCCCCTTATTCCCATAGGGGAATCGGGGGGGCTTCCAGCGGTGGCTTGGTCATTGCTGGGCTGTGTGCAGATGTCAGAGGGGTGTGGAAAAGCCCTCGGCTCCAACCACCCCAGCTCAGGTACCCAGGGCCCTTTTTGCTGCAGCTTGGTGGTTGTTGCTGGGCTGGTTGCACGCGTGGGGGAGGTGTGGCCGAAGCCTGAGGGCCCCCCATCGCCCTGGCTCAGGAGAGCCCTGGGCAAGGAACTGGTTTTAACTTCTGGGCAAGGTCCAAAGGATGAGGAGAGAGTTTGCCTAGGTCAGGGGCCTGATGGAGCCTGTTTGGTTTCCTACCCTGGAGTGTGGTTGCCTTGATTCTCTGTTATGGAGTGTTTGGAGGTTGGGATTAGTACTCAGTTGTTTAGCTTTTCAATGTAGCCATAACAAGAGGGGTGATCCCATGCATTCAAGCCACGCCTCCCCAGGCAACCAAGAGAGTGCTGATCTGTGGTCACATGAGCCTGCTCAAAGGAACTTTCATTACATCCATGAACAGCATAGATGAGGATGAGCATGGATAGTCTGGGTTCCCGTCCCAGTTCGGCCGCTTGCTTGCTCTGTGACCCTGGGCATGGTAACCTCCCTGTGCCCCAGTCTCTTCATATTTCAGATAGGGATAATAACTGTAGCAATGNGATCTCTGTTCTGACCTGGACATTGCCAGCTTTTCATATAATACAGGAACTGGTTTTATTACTTACTTATTTATTTATTTACTTATTTATTTTTAAAGAAAATGAAATTTTATTAATATTATTTTTTACATTCTAGGATGTTGTTGCGGAGCTGTTAGGAGGGAGGGGAAGAGGAGAAAGGGGAAGGAAATGGGATGGAAGAAGGAGAGAGGAGGAGGGGTGGGATTGAGGCCTGTGGCATCCCCCTTATTCCCATAGGGGAAACGGGGGGGCTTCCAGCGGTGGCTTGGTCATTGCTGGGCTGTGTGCAGATGTCAGAGGGGTGTGGAAAAGCCCTCAGCTCCAACCACCCCAGCTCAGGTACCCAGGGCCCTTTTTGCTGCAGCTTGGTGGTTGTTGCTGGGCTGGTTGCACGTGTGGGGGAGGTGTGGCCGAAGCCTGAGGGCCCCCCATCGCCCTGGCTCAGGAGAGCCCTGGGCAAGGAACTGGTTTTAACTTCTGGGCAAGGTCCAAAGGATGAGGAGAGAGTTTGCCTAGGTCAGGGGCCTGATGGGGCCTGTTACGAGTTACAGTTTGGTTTCCTACCCTGGAGTGTGGTTGCCTTGATTCTCTGTTATGGAGTGTTTGGAGGTTGGGATTAGTACTCAGTTGTTTAGCTTTTCAATGTAGCCATAACAAGAGGGGTGATCCCATGCATTCAAGCCACGCCTCCCCAGGCAACCAAGAGAGTGCTGATCTGTGGTCACATGAGCCTGCTCAAAGGAACTTTCATTATATCCATGAACAGCATAGATGAGGATGAACATGGATAGTCTGGGTTCCCGTCCCAGTTCGGCCGCTTGCTTGCTCTGTGACCCTGGGCACGGTAACCTCCCTGTGCCCCAGTCTCTTCATATTTCAGATAGGGATAATAACTGTAGCAATGGCATAGGCTACTGTGAGGATTGGCGAGTTAGTACGTGGAAAGTGCTCAGAAAGGCACCTGGCACATGGAATGTGCTGGGTCAGTGTTTGCTCTCAAATCAGACATAGTGGCCAGAAAGTTTCCCAGCCAACCTCTGTCCCTTTGCACCCGGGCCTAACAAGTGCAATGCACATGTTTGATCCCTTTGCCACTTGGAGAAACAGAGAGGAAGACAAGCCTCAACTCGAAGGCCCCTCTGCCCATCTGTGCCTGTGTAGTACGGGAGTGTGTCCATTTTGAAATGGTTCTAAAGGTATTTGGACAACTGCTTAAAAGGAACTAGGCCTTGTAAGCAATTGTTGCGATACACTTGCATGTCCCTTATTTAGAAAAGAAGCTTTCCATTCACGATTTCTTGTCTTCAGCTAGATCCTTCCAAGTTGCAACCCAAGATGCAGACAACTCCCAGCAACAGCCTGTCTTTCAGACAGGAATTTACTCTCTTGGCCCACGCTCCACCCTTATTCCTCACGCTCAGGGAAGGCGAAGACAGGCCTGGGTGTTTGGGTTCTGCACCGCCTCCCAGTCTCAGGGCCCTTGACCTGCAGGCAGTGAGTGAGGCAGTACTCAGTGGAAAAATCATTTGAAACAAAATTTTCCCTCTCTAAAGAAGACAGCCGTGAGTCTTCATGGGTTTTTCCTACTTTCAGAGAGTTGAAACTGAATATCCTAAAATTTCTCAAACCAGATTCTTAAACCGGATTGTCTTGGGAGCAGTATATATATGAGAGTGTTGGGCTGGATTTATAGCAGATTTAGGGTTATTTGGAGCAAGACATAAGACGGATGATAGCCTCGGGATTCTCAGGGTGGTTTGTAACAGGTAAACTTGTC